GACGGAGTTGTGCTAAATGTCTGCCCTGTTGTCTACGTCTGTAGCTTAGACATCCAGTCAAAATTTAGCAAAACACTGAGGTGTTCTGGATCAGGTTTTTTCTATGCGATAATTTTCGGGGTTTCATGATTCACATGACAATGGTCATAGGTGAATATTAAGCAACTGTTAAGGCCCTTTCTTCTCTTTATCCCATCCTAATTTCATCGCAATCCCTTGTCCTGTGTACCCTTAGTAGCACCTCTGCAAGAGAGCCAGACGTTTAGCACTTTAAAAAAAGAAGAAAAAATCTATGCATACGTATATACAGTTACTAAATTATATTGTCATGTATTATTATAGCTATTTCTGTACAGTGCACCTGTGTACTGACTGTTTATATGTGGCACCTTGGCCAAGCCAGTGCTGCTCTGGCAATAGCAGACACAATCAGATTCTCACTATGTATATATGCTATAATATATTTATGTATATATATATACATATAATTTTGCAGTACGAAAACGTCGAAAACAATGTCTACGCATGCCTTGCAAGAATTTTGCTAGAATATATACATATATATATACATATTTATATACCTTGCTAGAATAAATATATACCTATACATACTTGACATGCGTGGACAAAAATTGGCAATGGATTCGGAGCAGTCAAGACAACTCACGCCTTGACCAGCATGCCATTTCGCTGACAAGCTTGGGCTTGACCACCCTCTGATTTCAATATCTAATCGGGGTGTTCGAAACCTGCAAAGAGGCGCCACCACCTGCTGTCAGGCTGACCAACTGCACTGCCAACTTAGCTGGCAATAGCACCGTTCTGCTATAGAACGGCTTTAACGCGCATGGTGACAGCAGCGTTGCATTTGGATCTGCTTTTATCTTTTATTAAGTGATTGTGGGATTTTACTAAAGCACGTAATGCTGTATTGAATAAATATACTAAAGACTTCTGTTAGGGTCGCGTATTATTAATGGCACCTTGCGCTACCATTTTTTTCCTCGTGTTACACTTACATGTAGACTAAGTCTACAAATATATAGCTTTATAAAAGTGTATGTATATATATATATATAAATATACATAATTAAATAACATGTGTATAACATCTGTTTATTATATATAGCATAAATATACGTATATATATATATATATACACTATATATAATATACTGTAACGTAGCATTTTCAGCCCCAATCGACGTTTTGACGTCGACGAAAGCCTATCCTGATACAATGCACTGAAATCACTTTTGAACACCTACAACCCCTTTTAGACCACATTCTGTACTGCTTCTTGGCTCAGCTCCACTCTCCCGACGTACTTCTCCACTTAGAGAAGACCCCTCCGCGGACTGTCCGTCGGAAGGCAGATAGTTCCTGAGAGAAATGACCAGGATATAAATGTTACCCACTTATAAAAATAAATACACTAACACAAATTTCACCTTTATACATGCATACACATACCCAAAGTTCCCCACACGCAACTTAGAGAATAGCAAACTCAAAATTTACGATTACCCAGTTTGATCATGAGAACACTTGGCCACAGCAAAACACCTTTGATCACAAGCTACCTCACGCATCAACTCGACGACGAGAACTTACACTACAAATACTCTCTTTCTTCACAGGGTGTCTTACTATTGGTCTCACCAGCTGATCTGCCGAGTCTTAGACGACGCTGTGAGTACGCACACTTCTTGTCGTAGGGAGTCCTACCGTCGGTCTCACCTGCCAGTTCACCAAGTCTCAGACGATGCGCTACGAGCACGCACATATACACACTTCCTACTACGTCCTACTGTAGTGGTAATGGACAGATGGCCCTCTACCGACTGCTAAGGCTCAGGTGATCCCTCGGATATGCACGCACTTTCCTCGTCCTATTGCAAAGGGCAGGCGGCCCCTGCCAACAACCAAGACTCAGACGTCTCTGGATACGCACGCACCGTTCTTGATCTATTGCCATGGGCAAGCGGCCTCTCACTGATTTCTGAGCTCAGACAGTTCTTCAAATATGCATACACACACGTAGATACATACACTTCTGATACACGAGTTTCAAATTTTACTTTTAAAATAATCAATTAATTCCTGCACAATATACAGCAATTATTTTTGATTATTGTTTTATTGACTAATCTTTCCTTAAGTATTACGTTAGGTGTATGTATTTATATTTCTAAATAAATTTACTTGTGTCGTTTTGGGGGAGGATGGAATTTTCAGCTCTTTTTCTTATATAAATCAATTTCTTACCTGACACAATGACAACATAATAAAATATCATAATGACTAAAATTCTAGTTTTTTTTAATAAACTTTAAAAAGAAGATTTGCAGTCATCTGTTAAGGGGTAGGTTTGTTCAAATAAAAACAACTAATTATTCTCTTTCTTTTATTTATCTAATCGTATAAATCTAAAAAAATTGTATTTTTAATTTCTTTATGGATTACTTGTATCAAATTAGTTGCTACTCTTTTAGTTAGTTAAATAAATCGATTTATAAAAAAATATAAATTCTTGAAATTTTTTTGCTCAGGCATAAGCTATAATTTCAATTTAAATTTAAATATTCCCGCATTAATTCCAAGAAATTTTATATAGACGACAATTTTAATTTTAATTTTCCCGCATCACCTTTCTCTTACGCACATTTGGTTGAACTAAGGTGGATTATTAATACAACCACGGAGGGTTAGTACTGGATACTCTGTCTATCTAGCAAAGTCACGTAGGGTAAAGTCGTCCTCGGGGCCCTTGGATGTCATGAGCACTGCTCAAGTAATCTACACAGGTACTTCACCCGAGAAGCGTTATCGCCAACCCTAGTGCCTTGACTACTTGAAAGTGCATTGTCTCCAGACTTAAAGTGATCGAGCACTGAAAGTCTAATTAGGCTCCGGTTAGTATTAGTATTACCTGTAGATGGTGTGTACGCTTACTTTTACACTCTCGGCCTTCGTAATTGATCTCTTTCTCTCACCGTGTGTGTGCCGCAGTAACGTGCCGATGTACAGGAGAGTTCCAGGTCTAGGTGAGCAGCAGATTTTCCGCGTCTCAGGCTCGCTGGAAAAGGAGCGACTTTTCTTGTGCGTCGGCTCTTTTTATAACCGATTTGCAGATGATTCACTGCCGTAATCTACGCTTAATCTCTTTGCACGTAATCGATTCCATGTATTCGCTGACAGTTCTCACGCATATCTTATTTATCTTCCTGCGCACAGTCGACAGCGCGTACTATATTTCATGCCGATTCTTTAAATATTGATTTTACAAATTTCGTGTTTTTATTAGTGGTTTAAAAAAAAATAAAATAAGAAAATGAAACGCTATAAATATAACAAATACTAATAAATTATGAATTTCTTGGTGATAAAAAATGCCCCATTACAATACGCGTTTCTCTCTCTTCTTTCCCCTACTTCTCTTATACGAGCTAGCTCGCCAACGTCTCGTCTTTTCTTTCAACTATACGTACATACACTCACGCACTCCCTGTTCTCGGTGGGTGGGGAACTTTGGGTGTGCTTGTGCATGTAGAAAGGTGAAATTTGTGTTAGTGTATCATGATTTGTTAGTTAAATTAGTATAAAATTTACAATAAATATGGGAGTTGGTAAGGGAGGAACTCCCAATGATATACTGAATGCCCTTAACTTTGATGTAGAGTATTGTATAGGATATAGCTTATGTTGACGTTCAACTATTTTGTACGTAATTAATATAGCTTGATCGGGACTAATTGCGTTAATTATTAAAATTAGCTCTCAAACTCATTTATTTTTAAACTTTTTGGCAAGATACTGCTCTCTATTTTAGTAATGTAAACTTTAAAAAAAAATAAAATAAACTTAGAATTGCCATTCTTTGCAGTAAGCTGCTTAGGTATATTACTGCAAAACCTTGAATTATATTCTATATTAATCAATATAAATATTAAGTTATTATTTCAAAAAAGAATAGAAAAAAAATGTAGGAGTTCATTTTGAAAATTTTTATAATAAATTCAAATTATAGAGAGGGATTATGATGAGACACCATGACACGATACACTTTGCGCTTGGGCTCCTCGCGCTATGCCTGTGCGTGTTATGCTGTCCAAGCTCGCAGACCATACTATATAAGCATAGTCACATCTGATGCATTATATTTGTGAAATCTACAGTATTGTTGCATGCATTCACGCTTATTATGCATAACGTGTCTAACAGGCATAACAGTGCTCATGCTACAATTTCTTAAATTTTTTTTCCGTGTAGTTATAGGTACCATATATATCTACATATATATGTACAAGTTCCACAGCATGTATGTATATAAAGAGAGAGACAACGAGGCCCAAGTGGTGGGGTGAACAACAACTGAGGAGTGGTCCAGACTTTTTGTTGCGTATTTCTCCTCACGCGGCTGTTTACTGCCTGCCATGAGATGTTTTACATTTAAAATTTATCAAATTTACTTAAAAATACTAAACGTATTTCAAACAAAAATGTTGAAAGAAATGTAATAATACTGAAATAAGAATTGCAGAAACGAAAAACGAAAAAATGAAAGAATGACGTTTCCAAAGATGCAATTTAGTCGTTATAATCTTGTTATTTCAAAGTATTCATATGCTTGCATATCGTTTTACTGATTTTTATTCGTTTTTGCCTTACAGTAACGCAAGTCTGACAACAATTTTTTATACATAAAATGAGTCAAATTGTAGCTTTGTACAACAATGTCGAAAAAATGACTGATTGACCTTACACTGTCAATTATACGTAGATATAAATATTGAAAAAATAATAGATGGATTAACAAGAACGCAGATACATTGTTTGTAACTTAACTTTTTAAATAATGTTTTTATGAGGAACTACGTTTTTCGTTTAATTTATATTTATATGGTATTAATATATTGATCTTACAGCATATGATTTTAGTAATAAAATTATACATAATACTTAAATAAATGCGTTCAGGTATCGAATATTATTTTCAGGTGCGAATAGTTGGAAAATCTTATTACGGTGTGCGCCATGGACTTGAAACATTTTCGCAAATGATTTGGTGGGACGAAAATTGTGGTAGGCATGGATGTTTGCGCGCTTTGTCACAAGCCAGTATTGAAGACAAACCTGCTTTTGCCTACCGAGGTCTTCTTGTTGATTCAGGTCGACAGTTTTTTAGCATTGATCAACTAAAAAGCGTAATTGATGGTTCGTCGTGTAAAACATATAATTGATTTTAAAAAAATTTAATAAACTTAACTTTTAATTTATTTTATTTTTTTTTTGTATATTGTGCTACAGGTATGGCTGCTTCAAAACTAAATACATTTCACTGGCATCTAACGGATTCACAGAGCTTTCCTTATAATTCTGTTCAGTTCCCTGAGATGGCTAGGTGGGGTGCCTATAGTAGTGATGACATTTACTCGCCTGATGATATCAAGGACCTTTCAAGTTATGCCAAAGTTCGAGGTGTTCGTGTTCTTGTGGAGATAGATTCACCTGCTCATGCTGGTGCTGGTTGGCAGTGGGGTGAGTGTTAGACATAAAAAACTTTTATTACTTGATTTTCCAAATTTAATCACACATAATAGTAACAAGAAAATACTTATATCTTGCTACCCAAGATCTGTGTTAATAATCATATATGTATAGAAATTGTATTCTTCAGCAAACGTAAGATGAATCGAATGTTATTTAAACTACTTAAGACAAAAGCAAGATACGTCAAAGTGGCTAAACTAGTACAGTAATGAAGGTTACGGTATTTATACCTCAAAGACTTGGTACCATGCGCACGATTTCTAGACTTAACCTTAACTCAGTGGCCTGCACCTTCGGGAAACTAGCTTTTTTTACGTGCGTATTTCCAACTATAATCTTGAGGTTTAAAAGCCATTTTAAATAACAGATGCTAATTTCTGTTAAAGTAATTAAATCATAAAGAATCAAAAGAGTGGCTACTGCATTAGACAATATAATCGTCGTGCTACATCATGAATCTTTAATAATAAATTATAATTGCCGTATTAATTTTCAATACTTCACTTTTTTAAAGTATTTTCAGTATATTTATGACTGGATTCACAAAGATAATGATGAAACATTTGCTGGAGTTCAAAAGTTTAATGATTACAATAAAGAAATTTAAGATAAATTGAAAAATTATAATAACGGTAAATACTTAAGTTCAATGGAAGCTGCTTCAAGATTATACGAATTTTCAATTTGTAGGAGAAGTCATAAAGTAGTTTATTTGGCAAATAAACTAAGAAAAAATATGGAAACTAATTTTTAAAGAGAATGAAGTTAAAAGTACAATAGACAAAAGACAAAGATCACAAGGAGCTTGGTTTGAATTTAACAGATTTCACTAATTCAATAAAATATGCTTACATCTTTGTATAAAAATATTGTATTTTCTGGAGCCAACTCTAAATTTAAGAAAAACGAAAGAATATAAAGATAAATAAATCAATATCAAAACTGAATATATAGTCTTTTCGTAAGATCATTAAACGTTTTTTTCAAATTGATACGAAACAAAGTAGGAGGAGGAACATCATTTATAAATCTTGAACCATTCAGCAAGCTCATAAGTTTAACATTATAAGATATTGCTATAGCAATGGGCCTAATCGAACATGACAGCCAAATAGATGACGTTTAAGAGAAGCTAGTATTGTTATGTTACGATATCAGAAATAACAATTTTTTGCCTGGTTTCTAATTTCAGAAAATAGTAAAGGTAAAAAAATTTTCAAAACATACAAAAATGAATTAAAAAAAATTATATCAACAATAATAATAATTTAAGTATGAATGTACTTTTATACGTATAATATATACTTTTACGTATTAATACAGCTTACAATTTTAAAACACATGGTGGAAAAATTTTGTTTACCCACACCAAAAAATAACTAAAATGAAAGAAAATGATGACAAAATAAATGTTTTTTTAGTTTGGAAGGGTCTCAAATAAGTTTTGTTTTATTAATTATGCTGTGGAGCGGAAAATTCCGTTGAGGCCCGAGAAAGTGCGAGGAGAAGGCGTGGTTATGTTACCAACCGCTATGTTAACGTGTGATTAGTTATTAATCACAGCGGATTTGGCGATTGCGAGTACGTAGGTGTAGGATGGGGATGGGGAGATGGGAGCCGAGGTGTACTGGGAAGTCAAAGAACGAGAGAGGACAGTTTTTGAATTTCGGGTGTTAAGACCAGAATCCAAGGTAGCAAATGAGATAGGCGAATTTTTTCATGCCTTGAAAGAGCGTGAGTTAAAAGACTTTTTAGCATTGGGGCGGAAAGCCATCGAATGCTTAATTAATCAACGGAAGTGTGGCCCTGATTCAACTCAACAAGAAACGTGGGAACGTTCGCCCATGGTAGCTCTCTGGATGTCGCTCGCATTTCCATCGCGCTATTTTATGTTTAATTTATAAGTGTTTTTTCTCCAGTTGCTCCTCCTGGTCATTTGCTTATTTTTCCCTAGCTCTCCGCATCTGTGGTGACCATTGATTTTGATTTTAAATTCATAAGTTTTGAGTGTTTTAATTTTTTAACATTGCTTTTAAAAAATCATTAAGGATTTGCTCTGTTTACGACCATTTTAAGATACATTTCCTTGGCCTGCCACTCTTCCGATGATTATTGCGTTAGGACATAGATATAATGCGCGTTGTATGTTTGTCTATAGATAGTGACTTATGCGGACTTTACGTGCTTCTAACATGTATATTAATAACATGGTAGAATTATACGAATGTCCACATAATTTCACTTTTGTCCTCATAATAACCCTTACATACACGTGATTGTCCGCATAAGCCACTATTCATAAGGATATATTTTTACATACACACACACGTGTATATATATATATAAAAGTTAATTAATTATAAAATAGTGTTGTAAGAATTTTGCTGCGATCATGGCGTTAATTTGAAGTGTATAATCTAATTGAGTATCATGGAAAGAATAAAAAATAGTCGTAAGCATAAAATATTTTCTGTTGGATAAATAAATGAAGTCTTAAACTAGTAAATTGCGTAAAACAATTGATCAATAAGTGGATCATCACGTCTGATTAATTTTTTTAGTTTTCGTTACGATTTTGGATTAATCGTAAGGGTTTGGATAGTAGTGAAATTAAATTTATATGAAATAGACTAGTAGAGCTTAACCTATCACTAGATGAGCGTCTATTAATAGGGCGTTATTGTTTACATTCGTCGTAACCGCCCGAGCCTTGCAGATAGCGACGTTTGTTATGATCAAGGTGAGTTGAGGGAGCGCGGTCCTATTTTTATTTTAAATAACCTGTTTCTATTGAAGTTGAACGTTCGTATGATTACGATTTGGGATATCTATATGGGGGATTCTAGTGAGCTTACATAAAAAAAATAGAATTACCTAGATAAAGGAAGAGAAAATTTTGATTTATAAAAAAGAAAAAAAAATAACGTGGGCTTTATTGGAGTTTACTCTCATTTTGTAAAACTATTTAAATAAATGGTTGATTACAATGACGTTGATTCATTTTTAACATCGACTTAATCGACTGAGATTTTTTTTATTGACAGCCCAGGGGGTTAAACAAAATTATTTTTCTGCATAAAGATAACTTATTCTTTCACTACTCTTGGTAAAAAAAGTTTTTCTGTGGCATAGATTCATATATCATCAATATTACTTTTGAGGGGCGTCACCAGTCATAGTGCTTTTTAATTATTATAGGACTTAAATAAAATATAAAGTTCAGTTTTGTAATCCCAATCTGAAACAAAAGAAAATTTATAAAAGTAGTTTAAATTATATAAGGTGAGGTTTGTATGATGCCAAGAAAGGCCTCAGAAATAGTTAAAAAAATAACGCGTCCTTGTGATAAAAACATTTATATTGCTTCTATTAATTTGACAATCTGGTTTAAGCTCATCACAATTGAAATATCCTTAAATGTTTTAAATTTAATCCTACTTTATAATTTAGTTTTTGTAAACGATGATACATCACATCATTTTTGAAATTTAAGTAAAAATGAAAACGTTTATAACCTCTCAACATACTTTATTACACACATTGCCTTACCAGCTTAGCCTATTATCGCCATTGCCAAGTGGGTCCTGTTGGCGCCAGATACGACGTTGTTGCCTGATCCAGCCTGTGCTCATACTCGTGGTGCTGTTTCTGTCCTTCTTTCATCACCAGAATCTGTATTGCTGATCATGTGATGTGTGTTGTTGCCTCATGTGTGCCTACTTTAGCCTACACATCGGCCACATGCTCCACCTTAACCATTACCCAGGTGAGACCTTACCAAGTTTGGTTGCGCTGCGCTCGTCTTCGAGATCTTTGTCTTCACCCACGTGCAAGTATTACGCAAGGTCGTCGACATCTTGACAGCTGTTTTCGCTTCATCTTTACATGGCCTCATGCTGCGCGCCGAAGAGTCAGCTATTTTTGGAGCCACGAGGAGTTACGTGTGCTGTTGCGGTTATATCGGCCATGTTGCCGTTATGCCTTTTATATTCCAAGCTGCCCGCACATTTTCATCTATATAACCGAGCGTATTGCGTGAAGACTTTGTATACGGTTTTGAAGAAGGGGCAAGCATGTCAGGTTAATTATCACACACTTTAAAGGTGTATTAGATAGCCTATTATGAAGCGGCATCACAAGGACCTTAGGTTTATTTACAGTATTATTTTGTACTGTCTCTTGGACTATATTTAAATTATGTGGAGCGCTGTATCTATTTCAGTATAAGTAATTGCCATTTAAAACAGTTAGTAATTGTTCTGTAATTTTTGTAAATTGACAACCTTACATTTTTATTTTTATTCTATCTAAATGACTGATAATCGTACAACCTAATCACCCATATGGCTTATAATAATTGTTATTGTCTAAATTTACTATGATTGTACGACCTTATATCGATACGTGTGATATTCAACGGTAAAACTTATAATTTAAGTTTAATTATTTTAAGCATTGTGGCAAAAGATCGACATTTTACGCCCACAAAAGAGGTGTCACACAATGTTTTGAAAGGATGAAAATAGAGGTAGCTGTGTTTGAAATCTTATATCTCCAGTTAAAAAACACGTCGAACAATATTTTTTTTAACTTGTAGGTATTCGCATAGCAAACATAGGAAAACTGTATCTGAAAGGTAAGGTGTTAACCTAACCTCACAAATAAAAAAGTTCTTGTAATTTTCTAGTAAACCGATGATACTAGTCTTTTTAAATGGACGATTTGTTTGTATAAGCATTTTTAAAAAGTGTTACAGTTACCTTTGAGTCGAAAAATACATAAAAAAATAATTTTAAGAAGTCTAAAGTGATTTAAAATAACCTCAAACATTAAAGTTTAAATAAATTTATAAGTTACTGTATTCCTCATGCTGTTAATTAATCAAAATCAATTGTCTAATTAAGTTAAAGAACAACAACAATGCACGTCTAATGACATAACCTTCATAGATTATAAAACCAGATTTAATATGGCGCACAGTAAGAGATTTCTGGAAATAAGTTTCAAAAGTTAAATATTTCGAAAAGAAAAAGATGAATTCAGAAAATTCTGCGTAAAGCTTAGCTGAAATCATGGATAACACAAAATGACTATTGTAAATTATGGAATGTGAGATCCTAACCTTTGAATAATTAAGGAAGACTGAAGGAACAACCTTTGGAAAAAAATTTCTGAAAATAACGTCAAAATGGCTGAATGTCCTTTCCAGTAATAGTTCCTAAGATACATGGTAGTATTATAATAAAATATTGAGTTATATCCATCCTAACATGACCTAAAAGCAAAAATATTTCTGTTTTCCATGTTAAAACAAAATCATCTATCATGGAAAAACGATATTAAGATACCATCAACAAAGTCTCAAAGGGTGATCAATCAATAGGTGATCAATATTAAAATAAGCAGTTACGTTGCGTTAGTTACTAAACTACAACTATTACGGAAAATAAGCCATCTGTATACATTTTTACGCTAAGATATTTTTTAACTTTAATAGTTTTTTTAAAAAGTCAATATAACTTACCTTCTCAAAATATCAGGTTAGTCAATATTTTAAAGTCGAAATTAAAACTTGAAATTTCTTGTACAGTAGTATTTTGTTGAATTTATCATTACAAGAAAAACATTTATACAGGTATTATACAGAGCGATGAACAACACACTTTGCAATGGATAATTAAAAATTTTGTTTTAATTTGGATGTTCCAATTTCATATTTGATAATTTTTCGTAGGTCTTTCCTATTCCTTATTATCTTAGCTTGGAGCACGCCAAAATGATTTTCTAGATTTATCCTTTCCTTCTACAGATATAGGATTTTTGAGATGGAAGATTCAATATTTGCCTCACAGACTCGAGATGCTTTAGAACCAAATGTCTAATTATTCATAAGCGGCCAGCACTATCAGCCTATAAAGTTGTATCCGTCAGATTTAACGGCGAAGACAGTGTGTCACAGTTTGAAAAGGCTACAGGTGGTAGATTTTAGCTAAAGTTCAGTGACAACAGAGCCCATTTTATGGATGCTTGCTCCATTGCATGTATTGTGAATGCAAATTCATGCAAGTGTGCATCCCTTACAGCCCAAGTCGCTTATCTAAGAATGAGTTTATCATCGGGTTCAGGGTGCAAATGGCGCGCTTGGTAGCGTTGGCTTGTGTGTAGTATCACACAATGCAGAAAATTTTACACATTATTTAAAATTTCCAATTAACAAACTCTGTACCGTTGTCAGCTAACACGTACTTGAGTTATCCCAACCTATTTAATACTAATTCTTCTATCACTGTCTGGGTGTTTTTTCCGTCTGACTTTCAGAGTGCTTTCAACTTGATGTATTTAGTGAACGTATCTTGGATAATTTTTAGGTAACGGGGTCGCGATTTTAAGATGAAGGTTTTGATCCTGTAATATCCATTGCTATTACCATCCACGGTTGTTTAGTAATTCTTTCCCCTATAAAACTGGCTGGAGCTTTCTGTAGGACTTTTTGCAGTTGACATTCTTGACATTTCTAAAGACACTAAGCTACATTTTGAAAATAACCAGGCCAATGATAATAATTAGTCAGATGGGCGTAAGTCTTATCCACCCCTAGGTGACCTGCTTCGAGTTCATCGTGCACATCGTATAATTCCTGAACACGATGTTCCTTCGGCAAGGCGATTTTTCATTCATCTAAGTCCTCTATCGTTAAACTAATGATAGGGTTACGTTTGCGGAAGAAAGGGTCCCGTTCCTATATTTCCAATATGAAATTTTTTGTGGAACCGCTTGCACCCCTTTTACCCATTCCAAGAACTATTCATCGTTTACTTGTTCTACATTGGGCATAATTACTGCAACTTAATTTTCCTGTGTACGGAATATGGCATCTGGTATCTGATAAAGTTTTCTCTTCCTATGGATGAACTCTTGATAATATGGCTGTAACGTGGTGATGCACGAAGCCCATTTTCTCCTGGGACCTTCAACGTATTGAGCCATGGCAGAATGCTGTGGTCAGTGATTACTGTAAAACGTTTACACTGTAAATATCCTTTTAATATATCTAAAGCCCACAAAACAGCCAAACATTTCTTTTCTGTAACTGTATGGATCCGTTCTGGCTTGCTTAGTGTGTGACTGACGAAGCGCATCAGATGTTTTTCGCTATTAGGGTTCTGTGACAATATAGTGGCCATAGTAAAGTCGCTGGCATCCGTTTGTAGGATGAACAGTTGCGAAAAATTAGGCCTCGATAAAACCAGTGCCTTAGTCAGAGCTTGTTTGCTGCTTTTAAAAGCTGACTATTGCTCAACAGTCCATTACCATTTCACGTCTCAGGACATGAGCTTCGTTAGGGAAGATTGCTTTTTGGTGAGATCAGGGATAAATCTGGATTACCATCCAATCATTAACATGAATTTTTCGAGTTGTTTCAGGGGGTTAGTACAGAGTACTCTAAGATTGGCCTTACTTTGTCGAGATTGATCCTTGGATCTTTCCCATTAATCACTTATCCAATTTATTTCACCTCTCTGCACCGAAACTCAGATTTTTTGCGATTGGTAACAAGATTTGCCTCCGTTAATGCTCTTAATACAATCCTCAACAACTTGAGATCGTCCTCGAAAGTTTCTGTGACAGTTACTGTGCTTGGCTACGGTTGTAATACCAAGTTCTTCTGGGCGAGGGACTATCAGATTGTCGAGGACCTTTTCCAGTTCTTGCTCCTTAGAAAAGTCATCGTTATTATTCCTCATGTAGCAGCCACCGCTGCTGAGTGCATCTGATCACTCTCTTTCCCCTTCAATTTTTCCTAGGGACTTGTGGGAGTACGCCATGCATCTTTACCGCAATCTACTGTGACTTACAAGGTTTTCAGGAAATCTATCCCAAAAATGGCTTTGTACTCCAATGCGTTTACTAATCCTAACATCAACGTCTAGGTAGTTTGCCCGATGATTAATAGAACGATTACAATTCCTTTGATGGCTAGTACCATACCATTAGCAACAGAATTTAAAGTGCAATAGGGTTGGAAACTTTTTGATCTCTTCGTAATTTCTTTCCCTACAAACTAGTGTGCTACACCGCTACCCCGGAGACTTGTGGTGGATAGTGACATAACTCCTCTAACAGTGCCAAAACCTCTATCACATTTTTAGTTCCATATGTCCCCCACTTAAGTCCTCGACCTATAGTGGACACTACGTCAGTCAACGGTAGAAAGCTCAGCCCTGGCTGCTTATTCCATCCTTTGCTTTGGAGATAAATGTTTTTGATGTGAAAATATTTTATACGAGGCTTGGATTTCTGCTTAGACAGTAAAAATTTTCAAAGCTAATCGCTTTTTCTGTCACGCCTAAATGTATATACTTATAACGTTCTCTCTCTCTCTCTCTCTCTCTCTCTCTTTCTCTCTCTCTCTACTGAGAAGCGCTGAGTTTACGCTACTGCCAGACAAAGTACATAGATATACTATATCATATTCGTCTACAAGCAGTTAAGTATGCATGCGCACGCCTTCACACACATGTGGTGCACAACTGCTGGCCAATAAGTGGCCAGTGCTGCATGTTTACGCTACCACCTGGAATAATATTGGTCTGTCTAACTAGGAGGTAAAGCGAGTGGTCTACAAGCCACAGGCAAAGACTGAGGAAGATGACAGTTGCCATCCATCCGTACGTGTGTATTAGTTTGCGTCGTTGGTTACAATTGACACATATAAATATAACCTTACTTTTTAGGCACGTTTTTGTTTGTATTTCACCAAATACTAACATTAACAAAATTATTCGCTTTTGGTGGTTTAATTTGCTTCCATATTTAGATGTTGGTTCTACTGCATTGCAAGAAAATTACAACTTTTTGCCTATGATTGTTTCTGGCAATTTAAATTTTAATTTCAATAATAAAAATTCTCAGCCTTTAAGAGACTTTCTCCACAATTTTTTACATTAAAATATTAATAATAATCGGCATCAATCTACTACCATAGGTGGTACGACTATAGATGGAATTTTCTCGAGATTCTTAAATGACACTGCATCTACAACATTTACTTTCTACTATAGCTACGACAAACCAATTGTTACCATTATACAGAGCGATGAACAACACACTTTGCAATGGATAATTATGTAATAGTAGTTTTCCTACAAGTTTGAAAAGTCTCTGTTTGCAAACCGAGAGGTTTGCGGCCCGAGCCGAAGGCGAGGGACGTAACGAGGTTCGTAAAGGAGACTTTTCGAACGAGTTCCGGAAAACTGCTTTTTCGCCCGAGGAAGTACCAGCCTCCCAAAACCACCCGAGGGAGGAAAATATTTTTCACTTTTATTTTTTTTGGTACTTTTTCCACATTAATAAATATTTTTTTTAATAAAAAATATGATATACAATTTTGCATTTTTTATTTACTGATGACACAACAACTATTTTTGAGGTTTACTTTTTCAAAATTTTAATAAATTAAATTTTTTCTTGTTGCATATTTCAGTACGCAATAAAAAAAAATAGTACATATAAGTACCTCTGTGACTTTTTACATGTACTGTTTAACAATGCAATACTCCTCGTGAAGAGATGGACGATCTTCTCACAGCAATAATGGCCTACCACTTAGATCCTTCGCTCTCGAGGTGGTCTAAGTAACATCATCACCATACTAACAAAACCACAACTATAATATCCAACAATGTGAAAATGTAACCGATATCTGTTATATTTAATCAAATACTGTATATGTACCAATATAATGTAGCAATGCGTCCTACTGTACCAAGACTATATCTACTCGCTTAGAATAAAGCTTAAGAATAAATACACTACGTGAGTAGATATTTATAAAAAAAGAAAAAAAAAGAAGCACATATCCATATCCATGTTTTAACATCTTTCTAGGGTCAAATGTGACACTACGACTCGTTTTTACTTTCCCACTTTGGAGGCTCTTTCTGTGCTTATAGTAAGCAATTTAAGTGATTTTTTTTATTGTTTTGTCTGTCCAGTGTATAAACGTTGTGATAGTATTTACCCAGTTACTTTTAAAAGCTGACAGTGCTACTTGCAAAAATTCTTTCAGCCAATATACCTGCTTACGACTACACCTCTGTATGTCACCTAATTTTCTTACTAGCCATGTCAAAAATGTCAGTAAGGCACGTCCTATTCCTGACTAAATTTAAAGAAGTCTCTGTCATTCTTTATCTTTTGCTGCATTGGTTACTATCACCTCTAGTTTGTTTGGAGTCGCGTCTTGCTCTGGTAAGGCAGTACTGACTTCTTTTACCCCTCTACTCTGGCGTTTTCAGTCTCTCCATGTTACACTCAGAGTACTTGTAGCGTTTATTTTGTATCTTGTAGCATTTAGTACAGTACTTACGGTAGGGGCAATCATTGCGCCAGTGTCTGACGTTACGGCCAATAAAGCACGATCTGTCCTTGTTTTCTGTAGGGGTATTCTTACCAGTTGTTTTTGTGTTAATGCAAGCTGTCTTTTTTTTCTTAAAAGCTGATGCTTGCAGGTTCTGGCGCCGTTATATGGCCTCATTTTTGACTAGCATCATATCTTCTAAAGGAGCTAGTATGCCCTATAGTTACTGCTGCACACTCTTCGGCTATCCATTTCTTTCATCCTCTTCTACCAGTGCAATAATAGCCGTAGCAGCTAAAGCGTACACTAGCTGTAACTCAGCGTTATCTTTGACGGTAGTGGTAAGGATACTTACCACTGTAGCCACTTTTTTCGATGGAGTCTGCTTTCAGGTAACAAATAATGTTACTGGAAACAAACACTTCTTGGCTCGCGGAAGTGGGGGGTATTTCTTATCCTGCTGCTGGGTTAATTCAAAATTTTTGCCCAGTAGCAGATAATTATTTAAGCTGCCTAACTATGCTCTTGAAATCCTGTCGTGATAGTAGAGATGAAAGTTCCTATATCCTTGATTTATCTGTTCATAAAGCGTCAGGGGTGGGCAAATTTTATCCAATAGGGTTTGTAAATCAGAAAGATAGCTCGCAATATCTGTATGTGATGCCTATGTATGCCTCTCAGTCTCTTTAATTATTATAGCCTGTAGGTCGTATATCTCATACTGCCACTAAAAAGAAGTGACAAACTTATCTACCGTACGCCGGTGGTATTTTTCCGTTGAAACCAGTTATTGGCTTCTGTGTAAAATAATACCAGCAACACTCTTAACAGCTCCTCCATTTACAGGATATAAGTTGTCACACATTCCTACAAGTGCGTCAAAAAATTATCTGGGTCGTCTTTAGTACATCCTTTTAATTCGATACTTCATCGAGTCATAAGGTCTAGCGTATATCTCTTACATCCAATCTGTGATCCGCGGTAGTGTAATGTGATTTCCACACCCACCAACGTCAAGTTTAAGTGTCCATTAATCGTGTTAGAGCAACGAATATCCTCATAAACTCCCCTGCTTTGCATAAACTAGTTAACCAAGGTTGAATGGCAGTGATCCTGAGGCCCTGTGGAGATTTTCTATGCATGCGGTGGGGAAGTACCTGAGCCATGACTATGTATCTCCACACGTGGTTGGCTAATGCTGTTCAGTGTTGGTAACTGCATACTTGCGGAATTTATAAACGATTGCAGAGGTCAATTTTGTGATTGGACTTCAGGTATTTCTCGATTTTGTTGCGGTATTGCACATAGACTGCATAAATGAATCAAAGAGTATGCTTAGGGCTCATTCATAGTATAATAGGGTACCTGAGATACTGTGTCAGGGTTAAGTTTGCCTTATCACCACGTTATTGTGTATGGACATTTGTTTGACGCATCGTCCCACGATGCCCTGGCTGTGTACTCGTATTAAGTATCCCAGGTGTCAAGCCTTTGTAGTTATGATTGGTAGGGCTTCCGTCTGACCACGTTACCCGACGTACGTTTGCAGCACTATATTCTCTATCTCTAGCTCTTAATTATACTTAGCGGCTATAATAACTGAGTGCCACATTCGCCCCTTAGGCCATCCTTAATCCTATTCCTACCTTCCTTTGCACGGCTCTCACGGTTTCTCCGGTAGCCCCACTCACCCCCATTGTGAGTGCTAAGTTTGCCCCAGATCTAAGTACCGAACCTGCCGCTAACACCTTGGACGGTCTCTTCGAAGGATCCTGAATGATGTTCTGTGTAGACCACTCATATGACCTTCTGAAGGTTTGCGAAGCTTGGTATGTGTTCGTCAGCATATTTTATCTATCAGACACTATCAATCTTATTATTACGTGATTTTTTTGTATCCCCATGCTACTTAAATCGTGACGTACTTGTCCGCTCATAACCTCACGGAATTATTGAGGTGCAGGTGACAAGGTATTGGCAACATCCATTCTTGCAACGCTTGCGTTTTCTTCAGACGATCAATCATGCATGAATTTGATTTCATGGCGTTCTAGTTGTTACTCTATGTCTAAAAGCTACATAGATGAAGTGTTATTTCCTGACCGTGTCACCTAATTGACTACCCTATTTTATGTACTAGCTATTGGTCAGATATATTTTCTGTTGAAAAACCTTCGTAATCGATCTCTAGCCTCTAAAAAGATCCCATTTTTTCTTAGTCACAACAGTATCAATTATTGGAAAAATTTCCCATATGTATATTGACTGACCACGTCCATGGTCACTCTTATTTTTTTTTCGTTGCTCAATGCTTCGAGCTCATCCCCACCCGTTACACTTACACTGAAAGAAAACTCTAAGTCCTCTAATGAAACAATTATGTTTATGTGTACGTGTTATAAGAGGTTGAGAAAA